ATTTACTAAACGCAATTAATATATAGGGGGATACCTTGTACCGGTTAAGTACCTCCACAAAATATGAGGCCCATATATAAGGCCGCCCGTGAAGGAGACAGATCAGATTAGTAAAAAAATTGACCATCAGAAATTCCCGAGCGCAGATAAGGTAGGGTGAGTTAATTACATCCTAAAAGTGTATATTCCACTAATCTGACAATTTGAAAGTGACGTAAAAAAGGGAGGGCAACAAAGTTGTAAAAAAAACGTCATCTCACATTCTCGAGCGTAGCTAAAATTTTTTTATTTTGAAGGAAATAATTCAAGATAATGAAAAATTATAATCTGAGATTTCCCAAGCCGAAATAACAAAAATTCGTCGATAAAGTTAAACGTACGTATCTAATTTCCTTAAACACGACACAAAGCGTCAATATTTCCTCAAAATAATTTCCTTAATTTGAACATCGGAGATAGATTTTGAGAAATTTTGAAAAATCTTAAAAAATAAGAAATATTTTTTTTTAAAGTGGTTTCTTTTCGTATCAAAAAAATCCGCCTTTGAGCTTGAAAAACCACGTCACCACCAACTGGTCAAAAGCGGTTGATTCGTTCGAGAATATCTGAACGAAAAAACCGAAAAGTGTTTTTCGGGATTACTCCGAAATTTGTGGTTCGATCAATAAAATTGCAAAATACTATGAGGTGATAAAACGCGTCGAATGCCGCCAACGCGTGAAAATTGCTGATCCATTCAAAAGTTATTGCGGTTTGAAAATTCCAAAAATAGTGTTCTATAAACTTCTTAGACTTTCGAGCTGGAGAGTCAAATGCATAGAAATATTATTTCTTTGAACTCAGCGAGCTCAAAATATCAATTTTAAGCCCAGGAATGGAATTAGCGGGAAGTTGCAGGGATGGCCCTTTAGGTGAACCGTTTTTCTAAATTTTTTTGTCAGATCAGCAATCCCTCAGATAATCGTCAGATTATGAACAGTACGTTTAGAACATAAAGATGAACCACATATATCTTAATCTGACGCTTGAGTATTTCAAAATTGCGATTTTTTTGCAAATTAAGAAAATGGCTGTGGGTTTGCGTCCCATCGAAATCGTCAGATTAGTGAATGAGAGATTTTTTTGGTGCACTTACACCCCCCTTAGAAAATCTGACGCGCTCATAATTTTTATTTTTTTCATTTTCAACCCTTAAATACAACCACCGCATCATGCAAACGATCAGATTAACATACGTACATTATTAAAAATACGTAGGGCATTGATGCTATCAATTCTGAGCGCTCGAGGATTCCATGCAACAGTTTTTTTACATATTTAACAATCTATAGCCGCTTCCCCCACCGATGAAAAGGTATATATCATATAACATTTTTTTCTTCTTATTATCTAAGCTTTGCATCCCAATAGGTCTCTCACGCCGAGTAATCCCCATTTAGCATCGGGGCCCCTACCATTATTTCGTCTAGCCCCCTTTCGCAACGCGCGATAACTTCGTTCCAACAAGACTAATTTAGTTAAGTGATTCCAAAAATAATTTTCATTTCTTATCCCTACGAAAAAAAAGCCACCATCACGAGGTGTTCCCAGGCGGTCACCCATACTCCATGTACTCAAACAATAGAAAAGTTGAAAATGTAAGGTTTGTTTACGAATTTCAATACATTTCACAAAATTTTAAATCATTTTTTTAATACTTAGACGGAACTCCGGCGGCAAAAATCACTTGGAGATGTTCCAATTAAGGTCCCCGAGACACCTACATAATGAGTATCATACAATTCGGGCAACGGATTTCTAAATCGTTACCCATATCCATTCCATATCAAAATTGGTTTAGGATCCTCGGTGTAAAAACATCAGCAAAAAAGAAAATTATATTTAGTAAATATTTTGAAAAATTGTTACATGATGAGCGATGATTCTCAAGTCAGTTGTGCTTTAAAAAGCAATTTACCGCTATCTATGTAAACACAATTACAACTCATTAAGGGAAACTAAAGTTCTAGACATCAAAAATAGAGTTTTAGTAAAGTATATAAGTGACATCTACTTTACATTTTCCTCAAATCAACTTTAACCAATTGGCGGTAGATGGCGCCACAAAACCACGTAAAGAGTCGACTAAATTATTTTAAATTACGCCATCTATGCAAAATGCGAAAACTTAAACAGACGATGAAAACATAAAGTTGTATCACAGGGTATTTAACCGAGCATCTAGTACCATTTTTACTTTGTTTTGCTACTCGACAACAGATGACGTTTTATTAGTTTTTATTGTTAGAACTTGGAGATAAACTGCCATTGCTACTCGTCTGCAAGATAATTATAGTTTTAAGTTTTTTGTGGTTTGAATTTCTAAAGTCAGAACTGATTTAATAAATTCCTTCATTCAACTTTGACTTAGGTAGGCTAACGCACTATGTACAAATTTAAAATATATTTTTAAAATTATATATATGATGTCGGAACAAAGAAGTTTATAGATTCGAAAAAAGTTTTTATAAAAATCCGCGATGGCAGCTAGTTCAGGTAACATTGTTATAATACGGAATTAAAACCTAATTAAACTGATACCGTATTTAATTTTAACCGTATAATTAAGTTATAATATTATATGTTATTTGTCTTATCGTGTATAAACCATAAGTATACTATATTGACAGCTTACATTATGTATGAAAATTAAAATCAAACTGCAATATGAAACTTGTTAGATGGAACAGTCAACGTGTCAATGGTATAAAATAAAAACGTCGTATACTTTCATTAATACGAAGGCGCGGATTAAAAATATATGCGTAACAGGATAATTTTCCTTGAATACATTATTTCGATTTCTTGTAATACCTACCGCGTTGGGCCATATGGCTCAGGTAAAAAGCCTTCTGACAGCAAAAAACCGTGACGTCATGCTATTGCATTCCCCGTGAACGGTTCATGGATAGCAAACATTTTATTTTCTACTACATACTTGTCTTCGTTGTAACCAGGCAGGGATAAAAACAATTTATTTTGTTACAAGCCAAATTTGATTATTTTAATAACTTCGTTAAGATTTTGCCGCTGCTTACAAAGTAGAAGATCCTGAGTACTAATCGGAACAAAAATTGTTTTGGTTTGGTTACCACTAGATTAGTATTAAATATTAGCAATAAATTAAACAGTAATGGAAAATTTGTAGGTAATTCATATAAAAGTCAGAAACGAAAACGTTTTTTTCTAATAGAAGACAAAAAAAAACAGTTATTTAATTATTCGCTTAAATTTTTTTTTAAAGATATCCATTATAAATAAAACCAATTATTATTAATTTAACAATAAACGACATGTTTAAAAATAATATACAGGTAAATTTACACTAAGCAGATGCCTTTGTCTATAAGTAGCCTTGGTTTATTATAATTCAAATTAGACTCTATTCACATTAATATAAAGTTGAAATTATTATTTTATAATCGTACGTAAGCTAAACTGTAAATTGTTTAGTCGTAATAAGAATCAAAATCCTTTAATGTGCTATTTCCCATATAAGTAATATAACTTACTTCACCTAATTTCAGACCTTAGTGTTTTGAATATAAAGCCTAATATGGGCTGACATAAATGATAAAATATCATGTAAATCAGCTGATGCGTATGTGTGCGTGAAAGCGTGGACTCCGCGTTCCACTTGACTCGGTATTCGCTTTTTGAATTTAAAATGATTTTTTTAAATTTAGAATTCCATTCTAGTGATTCTCTGTTCTCATTTTCTCAATGCAATAATATTATTGAATTGATTACTGTCAATCTGCGTAATCTTTTTGTTTAAGTAAATTATTTAAATACTCGTCAATTTAATTTTGTTGCTATATTAAAATAGGTAATAGGTTATGTAATTATTTATATTAGACAATCGAAAGACAGGAAAATCTAAATGTGTATTTAAAAAAAGAACGTTGTTATTATACGAGAAGACAGGAGTCTTCTCCAATCACCAGTCCCATTTTTCTTATAAAGTTACATTTATAATAATATACAATAAGATTCTTAAATACACAAAATGTTACAACAAAATCTTTATTAAATAGCTACTAAATCATGTAAATTCACTTGACATTTAAGAATTAATTATAAGTTTACGTACAAATTACGTTGCATTTGCATTACAAATGCAGCATTAATTTAGGAACCATAAATAAAACGGATTTATCACTGAAAATAATATGTTTTAAATAAAATTAAAATACTTATCATTTGAGAGCTGATAAATTTTGATAAACCACTTTCTAAACCGCCAATATCTTAAAATACGCATTAATTCCTAAACGTTCGAAATTCGAATCATATTCGGTTTGAACCGGTTGCCCTTGTAATAGTTGGCTGATATGAAACGACCAGTTTAGAAGACCCATGTCACAGAGTTGTGGTCTTCTTATGGCATAGCAATAAAAGCTGCCATGGGTCGCGATAGAGCTCAACGTCGATTGGTTGTAAACCGTCGGCAAGTGCAGCGAACGAAAATATACGGCGCGCTGAGTTGTTTTGCCGCCTTATCACTGTGTTCTGTTCAAAGATTAAAGAGACAAAAAAATATATTTTATGCCTTATGTTTACTAACTCACAGATTATTTTATAACCAATGTGATAAACCATAATATTAAAAAAAATTGTAACAATAATTTGTTTTCCAATGAATATAAGTGTTTACATAATAAAATAATGGAGAATACTATAGAAAGATAAGTATTTTCTATTGTTACCATACTAAAGAATTTATACGTAATACAATTTCGTACTTTTTAATTACTATGTTATTCAATTTAGTAAAAATTTGGTGGTATTTATAATCAGTAAAAGTGTGGTGTAAGTATGATCGGTAAAGGTAAAGGGTATAATCGTGAAAAGAGCTAGTAGATGCTATTTAATTAGTATGTCAATTAAGATAATATATATTGACTAAAGCTAATACATGTTCCTTAAAAGAATATAAGATTTTAATTATTACGGTATATCTATAATCCGATTAATCTATGAAGCGGGCGTCGCAAGCCGTGCGGGGCGAAGGCGGGCACTCCGGCCGCCAACTTAAAAATGCCGCCGCAGAGCCTCCGAATCGATACGACGCGCGTCACGTGCCGCCGAGCGCGACCAATCGCCGTGCGCCCAGCGGCGGGCGCGGGGCGGGAGCTTCCCCCTCGACCGCCAGTACGCGACCATACTTCCACATTGAATGCACGTCTCTCCGGCATTCGCTTTCGAGTCGTGCCGATGTTCGCCCGTGTTATGTTATCAGTGCAGTGATGAGTGCGTGGACTGAGGAAGTACTCTCTTGGCGCGACGACCGTCTCGGTCTCACCGAATTACCCACTGTAAACCGCAGAAAAAACCGCACCGCGCCATATAGACTACACAGACCGCATTTGTCGACCGCTCACGTGCCTGAACCGGTACCCGAGGCCCATGGAACGCATATTTCGAGGTTATACCCTGAGATACTTGCGTTAATATTCGAGAGATTACCCGTTAGAGATAGAGGACGGGCCGCACAGGTTTGTCGTTCTTGGCGTGATGCAGCTGACAGAAGATCTGTTTGGAGAGGTGTTGAGGCAGCATTACATTTAAGAAGACCAGCTGCAGTGTTATTCGCTTCGCTTGCAAGACGTGGAGTACGGAAATTACAAGTATTATCTTTGCGACGAGGTTTAAGAGATGCAGTTTCCGCCTTACCTGGTTTAGATTCGCTTTCTCTTAGTGGTTGTTATAGCGTAACTGACGCTGCACTTGCAAGTGCTTTCGCAACAGAACTTCCAGCGTTAAGAAGACTAGATTTATCTTTATGCAAACAAGTAACAGATTCATCACTCGGCCGAATAGCGCAATCACTGAAAAACTTAGAAGAACTAGAGCTTGGTGGGTGCTGTAATGTAACAGATACAGGATTGTTACTAATTGCCTGGGGATTGAGGAAACTACGTAGACTCAACCTAAGATCATGCTGGCATGTAAACGACGATGGGATTGCCCACTTATGCGGAGGAGGCGAAGCTAGGGGCACTCCAGAGTTGGAGCATTTAGGATTACAAGATTGCCAAAGGTTAACAGATGAGGCGCTTAAGCATGCAGCCACTGGTCTTCCTAATCTTAAATCTATCAACCTTTCATTCTGTGTTGCGGTCACAGATGCTGGATTACGGCACTTAGCAAAGCTCCCACAATTAGAGGATGTTAATTTAAGAGCTTGCGACGGAGTATCCGATGCTGGAGTAGCTCATTTAGCTGAAAGCGGCCGATTGAGGGCTTTAGATGTTTCTTTTTGTGATAAAGTGGGAGATGAGGCATTATCTCATGCAACTCTAGGGTTGTCTGGACTTCGATCACTGTCGCTTAGCGCTTGCCGACTCACTGATGAAGGTCTGGAGAGGGTAGCGCGGCTTTCACAGCTAGAAACGCTAAATATAGGGCAATGTACCCGTGTTACTGACAGAGGACTTCGCGCATTAGGCGATGGCTTATTAAATTTGAAGGCCATAGACTTGTATGGTTGCACGTGCATTACTCCACAAGGCTTGGACCATATCGTGAAGCTGCCACGGCTTAGTGTACTCAACTTAGGTTTGTGGCATGTGCGGTGACCACAATCAAACTAGTGTATTTCTGTGCCGCGTTTGCGTGTGTAAGTGCGACGGCCATTTTGGAATGAGGTTGTACTGGACATAATTATAAAATTAACCAATTATGAGATATTATCGTTAGGAGACGGGGTAGCTTTCTTTGTTTTGTCATTGTTATGATAAGTTTGTTGACTGATTATTTACGATAACTGTGATTTACTCTCCGTTTAGTTTGGTTAAGTTTGAAGAAAGACGCCCCATAACCTAGTCGCCGTGTAAACTAGACCTTTTTATTACTATCTGTGTATACTCTTATCATTATGACGTACTTAGATGACGTATCTATAATGTAATTTTAATGTTGTGGTTACGAAAAGGTCTAGTTTGCCTATTTAATTGCTCCATTAGTTAGATATTTAGACATTATTTCAATTATTATTCGAATTTTTGCGAACTGGATCAATATCGTTTAAGTTTTGTAATGTTCTGATTGAAGATTGTTTTCAAGTTATGTTATGTTGATTGAAGCAGGGATAATTATTTTTTACTATTTTTTAATGAAGTGGAAAACGATTATAATAAATATGTTACATGTGTTGGCAAGATCAACTTGAAAAGGGTTACATTTACTTATTGTTTGTCGAAATGACACATTTTATTTTGTGTTAAAAATCTTTAAGTGTTCAAAAATCACGTCTGAATACGATGCAGGAATGAAAGTCCCATTTCACGATATAAATGTTAGTCTTCTTTTCCACTAAGAGATGTACCCGGGATTTTTTTAAATAAAAGAACAATTTAAATTACCTACGCGTTTTTATTTTCTCTTTCCAGTGATTATGAAGAATGTTTCTGCTATAAGTTGTTTTGTAGTTTTAAGTTTTATGAACAAAAACGATCTCAACGATACGTAAGATTAGTTGTTATTTCTCGCAAAAGTTCGAATTAAACTGTATATTAACTGATTTGTTTTGTACAAACCTATGTAACATAAATGTATTAAAATTAAAATCTTCATTAAGTTGCCAATTAGTGTCTATTATTTCAAAAACCTCGTTACGCCGATTGAGTAAAATAAATTCCAATGCGTTTTGACCTCAGATTTCTGTATCTATTTCATAGATCATTTTTTAGGCATAGTCGTAGTACTTGAGCCTGCCTGATACAAGTTGTCACGTAGGTATAAGTTTGTTCAGCCTTTTTTTTCTCTACTTTATCGTTCGAGCACTAAAGAAGAATCTATCGATGCAAAACTATCATGATAAAAGGCTAAGTTCCCTACAATGATGTTAAAGTGATGACAATTTAACAAACTAGAGAGAGAGAAAGAACGAAAATATTAATATATGTATGTGTACTTAATTCTCTTGTTCCTTACTCTTTGTAAGGGTTTTCGCGTTAACGTTTAAACTTTAAACCAAGCTTAGGTACCATTGATAAAGATTGATTAGAGATATATACGAATATACCTACCTCACCACACGACGTCGCATCAGCTAGTGAAAATTAGGGGTTGTATGTATTTTTTAAAGCTGTATCATAAAAAAATATGAAAAAATTTAGGGGTGGACATCCCCTTAACATTTAGGGGGATGAAAAATAGATGTCCGATTCTCAGACATACCCAATATGCACGCAAAATTTCATGAGAATCGGTCAAACCTTTTCGGAGGAGTATGGCAACGAAAACTGTGACACGAGAATTTTATATATTAGATATTATAGTAGTTATGTTAAACAAATAAATTATTAAAAAAACTATCTATGATAGAATCAAAATCAGTACTTATATTTTAAAAAGTAATACCGTGTAACCCATTTATAAAGTTATGGAATGTTAGTGTATATGTGAGGTTTTAACGTCTATTTTTAAATAAGCTATACAACATATAACTTGATTTATAAAATTACATTAGGTCATATATTATTCAAAATTTTAAGTTTCCTGTGACATTTCCTTGTCTTAAATTAAATTATTTATCATAATGCATACGGAAATATAAATGAATTCTATAATATGATTGCTTTTTTTTAATTACCTGTTTTAAAATTAAAATTGTATATTACTGGTTCATTTATAACTATATTGCAAACACACTATAGTTTTTATAATACTACTATATTACTAATATGTCTATATTATATTTTTGGTGTTAAGTTGGTGTAAGTCCTCCCCCAATGGTATAAGCGTAAATATGTATAGAGTCTAACAGCCCTTAAGTGGGATATAGGCCTAGCACAGTCTTTTTGAATATCTAACTAGTAATAGGTATATTTTCTGTCATAAGTTAATAATTACAACTGGATAATTACAACCCACTGTATTATACCTACTGACATAGTTTCAGAGATGAGACTTAGCGCTAAATTAAGGTGACCAACTATTTTTTGTTCAAAAAGACAAGATTTTTTGGAAAAAAAAAGAAGAAAATACGATAAAAACTTTTTTTTTCTTTTAAAAACATATTTTTCTTTAGAGTGTTTTTTTTTCTAAACAAGGATGTTCGTCAAATAATGTAGCCACATCCGAACAACTTTCATTTTGCAAATTAAATTTGACTGTTAAGCCGGCAGATAATGTTTTTACAGAAAGTTGCGACTTGTCACTGCTCCAATAATCATTCCCTAGTAAAAAAAACCCTTTCTACAGCAGGTGTATAGGCTTTTGACAAATAGTTCAAGTCAACGATTCAAGTGTTGAGTTCTTCGCTGCAAATCGAACTAAGTTTCAACAAAAAAAATGCTAGTCAAATATTAATTTAAAATAAGTTACCTACTTCCTCGTTAAAGACGGAATAACACATTTTCAACACAAGTTAAATAATTTTAACTCCATTCCTAAACGCAGTATTTCCTCAATGCAATGTCTACCTGCAAGAAGTAGTCGGCAACTCAAAGTGAACGATTATAATTACAAATCTTTGTCAACAATAAACTCCTTTGTTAAAACCAACTGTATTTTAAAATCAGTTTTCACTTTTACAACTTAATAACTTCATTCAAAATCGTAAAACAATGAACAATTCTTTGAAATGTTTTAAAAACAATTTGTTAATGATTTTATAACAGTTGTGTAGGCTATTGCCTACATTGTTAAAATTTTATTTTGGAGCGGCGATTTTAGCCTCATCCACACGCTTGGACAAACAATGGCAAACAGCCAACAGCAATCAGCATACACGAACGTGTGGATGGGTGTTCGTCGTTGTTTGCCTGTTTGTGTTTGTGTTGGGCAGTGTTCGGCATCGGTGTCGGTTTTAGTTGCCAGATCAAAGGATGTTTGGCAAACAGTTTGCTACGTATCCACACGTTTGGCAGCGATCAGTATGCGCGCGAGCTTGCGGGAGGCGGACGTATTTACTTGCTACACTTTCGTTGGCGCGCAAAGCGTAAAAAATGTCTGATTGGAGCACCTACGATTCTGACATTTTTAAGTAACTTTTAAGTAAAATTAAAAAAAAACACGGCAAAGTAAAGCTCAAATAATAGGTCTAAAGCCTTGTACGCTTTCTATGTATTTTAATCATCCACCATCGTCTTTGCTTTCTTCTTTTTTCCTTTTTTCTTTCTGTTGCTTTAATTTATAATAAAAATATGTCAACCCGAAAGTAATAGCTGCAACAAGCTCGTCGTCCGCCATGTTTGCCGATTCGGAATGTTATGAACGTTCGCCAAGCATGTGGATGGCTGTTTGTGTTGGGTGATTGTGGTTGGTGTTTGGGACTTCGTTTGCTTTTTGCGGTGTTTGTGACAAACAGCCAGCGTGTGGATGCCCCATTAGCCTCATGGACCATGGTATTGTAAGTTTTACGTTCTTCTATGCCATAAACCAGTCAATAGGCGTTGCTATTAAATATATCCGTAATTATATAGGAAATACAAGATTTTTGTGCTATATACCCGTGTAGTACGAAGATATATAAAAAAACTTATCTTATTTTAAGTATGTAGTGACAATATAACATAGCTCAAATGCTTATTTCAAATTGAATAATGATTGTATTGGAAGTTCATTTATCGACGACGGCTTATAACAAACCGCGAGGTTCACCTAATTTCAGATATGCATATCTATTCCCTTTTTTAATAACTGAAGTGTAAATTTACCCATCAACCCCGAAAGTAGCAAACATAATATGGGATTGGACCCACACCCACAGACTGGGTAGGCAACACGGTGGGTATTGCCCAAACAGTCAAAAGGGCTCCGGGCTATCGCATACTAACGGCGCAAGTATGAAATGTGTACTTTTTGTATGATGCAACTTCTAAAAAAATGAAATTATTCAATCATATTTATTATTTATGCCTACGCGGCTGTTTTTTTATAAATAACGTGTTATAAAATGTTATTGTATTTATATTTACCTATAGGTGCAGAAGATCCGTCACACTATCAAGTCATAGTCATAAGTCATTATTACTGTTATCTTCTATTACACATACATACAATAGAAGCCTTTTAACGTAGGTACGTTAAAATCCGAGTAGGTACTCGGATCTATTAAAAACCCTAAAAGCCCATCCACACGCTTGACAAACAATGGCAAACAGCTAACAGCAAACAGCAAACACGGACGTGTGGATGGGTGTTTGTCGTTGTTTGCCTGTTTGTGTTCGTGTTGGGCAGTGTTCGGCATCGGTGTCGGTTTATCTTGCCAGATCAAAGGATGTTTGGCAAACAGTTTGCTACGTATCCACACGTTTGGCAGCGATCAGTATGCGCGACGACCTTGCCTTGGGAGGCGGACGTATTTACTTGCTACACTTTCGTTGGCGCGCAAAGCGTAAAAAATGTCTGATTGGAGCACCTACGATTCTGAAGCCCCATCCACACGCTTGACAAACAATGGCAAACAGCCAACAGCAATCAGCATACACGAACTGTGGATGGGTGTTCGTCGTTGTTTGCCTGTTTGTGTTTGTGTTGGGCAGTGTTCGGCATCGGTGTCGGTTTTAGTTGCCAGATCAAAGGATGTTTGGCAAACAGTTTGCTCACGTATCCACACGTTTGGCAGCGATCAGTATGGCGCGAGCTTGCGGGAGGCGGACGTATTTACTTGCTACACTTTCGTTGGCGCGCAAAGCGTAAAAAATGTCTGATTGGAGCACCTACGATTCTGACATTTTTGGCAAGTAACTTTAAAAGTAAATTTAAAAAAAAAACACGGCAAAGTAAAGCTCAAATAATAGGTCTAAAGCCTTGTACGCTTTCTATGTATTTTAATCATCCACCATCGTCTTTGCTTTCTTATTTTTTTCCTTTTTTCTTTCTCTTGCTTTAATTTATAAATAAAAAATATGTCAACCCGAAAGTAATAGCTGCAACAAGCTCGTCGTCCGCCATGTTTGCCGATTCGGAATGTTATGAACGTTCGCCAAGCATGTGGATGGCTGTTTGTGTTGGGTGATTGTGGTTGGTGTTTGGGACTTCGTTTGCTTTTTGCGGTGTTTGTGACAAACAGCCAGCGTGTGGATGCCCCATTACATTTTAAGTACTTTTACTAGTAAAATTAAAAAAACACGGCAAAGTAAAGCTCAAAAATAGGTCTAAAGCCTTGTACGCTTTCTATGTATTTTAATCATCCACCATCGTCTTTGCTTTCTTTTTTTTTCCCTTTTTCTTTCTCTTGCTTTAATTTATAATAAAAAATATGCCTCAACCCAACCTGAAAGTAATAGCTGCAACAAGCTCGTCGTCCGCCATGTTTGCCGATTCGGAATGTTATGAACGTTCGCCAAGCATTGGATGGCTGTTTGTGTTGGGTGATTGTGGTTGGTGTTTGGGACTTCGTTTGCTTTTTGCGGTGTTTGTGACAAACAGCCAGCGTGTGGATGCCCCTAATATGATTCTCTTGATCTTAGACACAAGTGTCTGTTTGCCTATTTGAACTTATATGAGTAATAAGACGAACAGCAGTGTTGGCCTAGTGGCATCAGCGTGCGACTCTCATCCCTAAGGTCGTAGGTTCGATCCCCGGCTGTGCACCAATGGTCTTTCTGTGTATGTGCGCATATAAAATTAGCTCGAATGGTGAAGGGATACATCGTGAAGAAACCGGTTCAGACTCAAAAAGTCGACGCTGCGTCTCAGGCACAGGAGGCTGATCCTTTTTGCCTATAAGATTGACAAATGATTATGAAACAGATGCAGAAATCTGAGGCCCAGACCTAAAAAGGTTGTAGCGCCACTGGTAATAAAACGAATATTATAGCAACCACTATACACTATTGTAATAATAACAAAAACTAAATTTTCAAATTACACTCTAATTAGATAATTGTCTCCATGATGTGGAAAAATAATTTCAGGAAATTAATATCTACACGGTTGAAAAATTACCATTTCATAGCTTAACAATGGCTATTGTCTGTCTGTGCGTATAACAGGTAATGACAAATCCAGAAAAAGGTTTTAGTTTCCGTAATCCTAATCAGGTATGACAGCACAGTTATTTCTAATTATTAAAAATATCTATGGTTTTATTAGTTATAAAAACGTTATCTGTGAAGCGGAAAAAGATTTGGCGGTTTTTTCTACACCTCAGTCACCTAACTAGCAATCCGCGTTTATAATATTCGAAAATATATTTTCATACACATTCATACTGATATATTTTATTGATGTGACATTTAAAAAAGATAGTATATTTAGAAGCGAGTTTTAGTCTAAAATTATACCTAAATATTTTCTTTGGCCCAATCCCTAATTTTTTGTTAAGAATCCCTTAACGGTATACCCTGAGGGTCCTTTAAATCCGCCGAATGTTTTTGTCACGCAAATATTATAGAAATTTTTGTCGGCATTCTGTCCTTGGGTTCAAAGAGTTGCCGACGCGAATATAAGGCTTAGGAAAGTGTTTATTATCTTACGGCGGTGTCGCTTTGCTATATGGATTTAATTATTTTCTTTTTACAGACAAAGTATATGGATAATAATGTACAGGTAAAAAATATTTTGACGCGATGACAGACATAGACGAAGCACCAATTTAGGTTTGACTATGCCTAGAAAATGGGGTTTTTATTGTTACATTTATGTGCATAAAGCTAGCAACATTTAATATAAAATCTTGTTCTTGCTAATACTAAACACAACAACTTGTATTACACGATAACGTATTGATAAAGACGCTTTAACTAAGTTTTCTATCTCTTTCCGATAAACTGTTTTCACCCTGTAAAGAAAAAAGACGCCAACAGTTCTTCGGTTGAGCTAAGTAGACTAATTTCGTTTTCATGAATAGGATAACATAACAAGTACGTCGCACGTTGCATTATTCAATATCAGAAAGCGTTGATAAATTTCCACATATAGCTTTGATGGGTTATCGAACCATATCATATACAATACACGAATATGCCCGATTTAAAGTTTGTTTGGGTGAATACGTAGGGCTGTATAATACTTGGTTTCTGTCAAATATCAGTACCATCGGAGCATCAGAGTATCGGCAACGCACCCCTCTGGCATTGAGAGTGTCCATGAGCGGCAGTATCACTTAACATCAGATGAGCCTCCTGCCCCTTTGCCCCCTGTAATATAAAAAAAACGAGTAATAGAATACTAATGCACTTGCTTAATACTTAGGTCAACGACCATGACCGTCTATTTTTGAAGTTATACTTCTTTAGACGCGTTATGAAAAATTTATGAGAGGGAAAAAAAAAAAAGCGCGCGCCCCCGCCCCAAAAAAAAGGGGGGGGGGGGGGGGGGGGGGGGGGGGGGGGGAAAAAAAAAAAAAAAAAAAAAAAAAAAAAAAAAAGGGGGGGGGGGGGTGGCCCCCCAACCAAAAAAAAAAACCACTTTTTTTTTTTTTTTCCTTCCCAAAAAAAAAAATTTTTTTTTTTTTTTTTTTTTAATTTTTTGGGTTTTTTTTTTTTTTTTTAATTTGTTTTTTTTTTTTTTTTTAAACCCCCCCCCCATTTTTTTTTTTTTTTTAAACCCCCCCCCCCCCCCCCCCCCCCCCCCCCCCCCCCCCTGTTTTTTTCTCCCCCCTTTTTTTTTTTTTTTTTTTTTTTTTTTTTTTTTTTTTTTTATTACCCCCCCCTTTTTTTTTTTTTTTTTTCTTTTTTCTTTTTTTTTTTTTTTTTAAAAAAAAAAAAAAAAAAAAAAAAACCCCCCTTCCCCCCCCCCCCCCCCCCCCTTTTTTTTTCCCCTCTTTCTCCTCCCCCCCCCCCCCCCCCCCCCCCCCCCGGGGGGTCCCCCCCCCCCCTTTTTTTTTTTTTTTTTTTTTTTTTTTTTTTTTTTTTTTTCTCCCCCCCCCCCCCCTCCTTTTTTTTTTAATCTGTGTTTTTTGTCTATGTATTTATTGTATTACTTTTTTTCTCTCTGAACTCTGAAGTCTTTAGTTTCTAGTAATTGAATGTGTACTGTGCCCTTGGAGCACGAAGCTTAAACCGTATTGGTTTTCTTGCTGTTTCGGTTTAAGTTATATTAAGAGACAAAGCAGATGCGTGAAAACGTCTTTATTTGCTTTCTCACAAATCCTACTGTCTAAACTAGACTATTGTCAAAATAAATGAAAGGACAAACAACAGAACTTAACTAGTATATACCAAAACTGATTATCTTTACAAGAGCTTGCTTTATAAACAACATAATTGCATACAATTAGTCATGTAATTAAGTAGTTATTATAATTGTACGATTTTTGACTAAACGGTAAATTAAAAATTAAAACCAAGTAATTAAATATGGTATATAAAGATATATTTTGTGTAATGAAATCATTTACTTGTTCTCCTTTCTATATTTAGTATTTCTAAAACTTTAAAACACATAACTTCGAAGGCTTCCGTGCCGTTATAATAATAAATAATTGGAGGAAACTAAATAGCAGTGTCTATGAAGGTCCCCTTTTCATATTCTGGGTTGATCTCTGTAATCAAAAATTCAAAAAAAAACCTAGACTTATGTCCGTTTAAGCATTTTTTTAGCAAGATTAGGTAAAGATTCGTTTGATAGGTCTTTAATTTTGATCAAAATCTCTCTCTGGCTCACTGGTGTAAACGTGTTTCATAACAATGAAAAAATGTTGTCTAAAAATATTTCGTACCTATTTTATGTCAATTTCATCTGGCTGCATACAGCTGTGAGCGGTGAATTGTACTGTATCTACGGATTAATTCAAGAAGGAAAAAGTTTGGAAGAAATATCAATAATTGCTCCCTTTCCGCTAATTTGTGCCTTAGGAACTATCAAAGCTGCCTCCATTTATATCAACAAACATGCAGCTGTCACAGTTCTCAAAAAGTTACGGGAAATACACCCTGATATTTTGGTAATTGACGAGAAATATTTTGAAAATCACAAAGTACCAAGCGACATACAAAAAAGAATAAGAATAATTGATTCGACAAAACAGGTTTTATTCAAATTCGTGATATGCATGTGCCTAGGTGTTATTTTTGTTGTTATTCTGTTCTGTGTTGTACCCCTTACATCAATGGCAATGGATTACAACAAATTTGGATGGACAGAATTGAAGTTGCCATACCATGTGCGATATTTTTATGATCCATATTCTATGCCTTGGTGGCCGGGCGAGTACATACATCACGTTGGATGCTGTAAGTATATCTTTTAAAGTTGTCAGTGTCTTTTTGATAATTATTATAAGTATTCGTTACCACGGTCAGTTTCTAACAGCTTGAACGCATACATTTCTATTTAATTAATATACAATTTGACCTAATGACTATAGATTTTCGTTTCGTTTCCTCTTTAAAATGTGGCCCCAGCAACTGCTTACATAAGTATAATTAATTATATCTTTGGATTTTTTAATAAATTGATTTGATTGACCGTTTAATTCAGTTTAGGGGTTGGGTGCGATAACGATGCACCCGAATCTGATGATACTGATTATGCAGGAGTCTTGGGGGACCTTCATTGGAACACCTCCAAGCGATTTTAGCTGCCGGAAATGCGTCAAAGTATTTTTAATTTTTTTATAAAGTTTTGTGAAATGTATTGAAATTTGTAAACAATCCACCATTATCTACTTTTCTATTGGTTATAAGTGATGTGACATTTTCGGTAAATTAATCGGATCGATTATTTTCTCATTTGTTAATTTTAAAGTTGACCCTAATTTAACCATTACTTGTCAAATGTACATACATTACATTAACTTCATGTTTCAATTAGGGTATTGTTCCGAAAATTTTTAAATTATTCAAAAAGTACCCAAAACCGAATTCAGAGCACCCCACTATCCACGTGGTCTTGTCTGCCTTACCCCTAGAGTGTATATAAATAATCGGAGGCGCGGAGGAAGAGCAGCTCCCACCCGCTGTAACAAAGCACAGGCCTCCGCAACCTCGGCTTTTAGCCTTAGCCGCTACGGCTTGAATTAAATCCCTGTGCTTTGGTACGCAAGGGTGGAGGGGCTGCATTTCCCGTAGCGCCGGAGCTGTCCAAAAATCCAATTATTATTTAGATCGGTTAGGTTAGGTTAGTATATGAATATTTAGTCGCCAAAGGCGACCATAAAGCCGAGGTTGCGGAGGCTTGAAAACAAATGCCTGTGCTTTGGTACGCAAGGGTGGAGGGGCTGCATTTCCCGTAGCGCCGGAGCTGTCCAAAAAACCAATTATTATCTAGATCGGTTAGGTTAGGTTTATATATTCGATTAGGTTCAACTTTAAAAATAACACATGAGAAAATAATCGATCCGATTAATTTACCGAAAATGTCACATCACTTATAACCAATAGAAAAGTAGATAATGGTGGATTGTTTACAAATTTCAATACATTTCACAAAACTTTCAAAATTTTTTAAAAATACTTTGACACATTTCCGGCAGCTAAAACACTTGGAGGTGTTCCAATGATGGTCCCCTAAGACTCCTGCATAATCAGTATCATCAGATTCGGGTGCATCGTTATCGCTCCGTAATTTAGTTTAGTTCTAAATACTCCTAGGACTGTTCAATTTTTTATTATTTTATATTTAAAAAGTGTAACAACTTTTTAGTTAAACGCTGTAATTTCTGTAAATAAATTAATTAATATTTACGGTTTATTTTGAAATTGAGGTCAGGACCTCAATTTTAGTTACAGGTAACAGGAAGACATATAGGAATTAAAGATTACTTGTGTATGTGATGTATTATTCTTGTTATAAATGTACGACGAGAGAATTCGGTGTTTAAAAAAACAGTATTTATTATTTATAAATTGTAAAAACGAGCCCGCAAGATTTTTAGTAAATAAAGTCCCTTTTTTAGAGAGGAGAGATCTGACACTCCCCTGCTGCTCAGCTTCACGGCCACAGATCTGCCTGATCGCGTAATTGATTTACCATAAGGGGTCCTTTCTATATATAGGCATAGTCAATACGTAATATAACTTTTCAGCGGTAATCGTGTACGTGAATATTTTCGGTACAGATGGACTTTTGTACGCATTTTGTTTGTATTTAAGAATGCATTTTGAAATATTATCCATCGATTTCGAAAGATTAACAGATAGCAATGAGGACCTACGACAATTAGTATTGAGACACCAAGAACTAATCGAGTAAGTTTTATAGATCTAATTAAAAGCTTTAGATAAATAACGATTTTAGTTAAATTAATCCCAGGTTTGTGCGTTCAATACCAGAGTGCAAATAACGCTGTAAAGAAATGTCTATAAAACAGTTGCAGAAATCTGAAGTCAATACCCATTAAGGGTTAGCTACTGCTCTAGTGGATTATTATTATTAATTAGTCTGATCAGGGGCCTTACTCTGTAACTTCCAATACAGTTACCAATCCTGTTGTTGAAAGTACAACTGATGACCATGGAATCGAGCGATACTAAACTTTGGAGTTTTGGACTGGAGTGGTTAAACTGGATTGGAGTGGGATTGTTGTCGGTATTGGAAGTTACAGAGTAGTTAAACCTGTTGATTATAAAATAAATAGACTTCCAGGGTTTTAGATTTAAAGCAAAGCCCACGATAACTATCTGTGAAGAATGAACCGTGACAATGCGATTTTTTAATATAAATGAATATTGTTATTTATCCTTATTCACAATTTCAGATTAGTCAACGAAGTACAAAATATATATTCAACATCTATGCTATTTAATATAATAATTAGTTCGTTTACAATATGTTTCTGTGGATTTAACATAACGGTAAATGTGTTTCTTTATTTTTTACAGGAGACGAATATTCATAATATTTTAAAATATTTTTTTTACAGCTTATCACTGATGTGGGTATGTCATTCGCATTCTTAACTTTTCTTTTAATGAGTTTGTATCAAATTTTCATGTTATGTTTCTTCGGTGACATGATAAGCGTTTCGGTAAGTCTAGATTTAATCTTTTATTTTTATTACCAACATTTAGGCTTCTTCTTCCTTCTACCAGCCCGTCTCTCGTAGAAGACGTCTGGTAGAAGGAAGAAGTCGTGGTTGCGAAACGTACGGGAATGGACCGGCATCGCATCAGCCGAGAAGCTTGTTAGACTAGCGCAAGTAACCCGGCAATTCAAATTGTTAAGCCAACCTTTAGTAATAAAGTGGCACCTGAAGAAGAAAGCTCGTATTCTAAGTAGTATCTCAAGTCAAAATCTTGTGTTGTTACATTGTTAATCATGTCAAACGTTATACAGAATAAATTGTTTGACAATTCTTTAAACTTTTTCAGAGCACAAAAATTGGTGATGCGATTTATAAAAACAAGTGGTACGAGGCCAAACCAGCATTTAAAAGGAGTTTATTTATTATAATTATGCGGTTTGTATCCATTTACAATATTGAACAGTTCACTGGTCAGGGAAACTGTATAATATATTTTTTTATGCATCCAGGTGTGTAATGGTGGCAAATTAAAAACTGAATTAAACTAATTAAACTAAAATTTGTAAAATAACGAAATGTATGAAGATGATTTCAGCGTTGCATCAATATAGTGATGCACAATCATCTGGAACCTCGTGGAGATTCGGGCATAGGCTTAGTTCGGCTTTCCAAGGTGCAGGTCGACGATTGACGCTTGATATTACGAATGCCTTCAACTCCCTGCCCCGGGACAGCTTCCGGGACGGACTCGAGTATCACGGGCTTTCAACGTATATACAAAAGTTCATAAAGACTTACTTGTCGAACGCCGAGTCATGTACCCCACAGAGGACAGAGATCGTCAAATCAAAATTAGATATTTTTCAAGAACCAATGGAGAGAAGTTCACTCCCGAAAATACTAACATTAGGAAAAAGACAAGGATAGAGGACGTTACAAAGATTATTTGAAAGGACAAGTGGAGATGGACGGGTCACAACATGCGAGGAGCTGAGAAGTTGTGTAAAACTATCATGACTTGGTATCCAAAAATTGGAAAAAGGGAAAAAAAAAAAGAGGCTGACAGTACAAGATATAGGAAAATGAAAAACAACTGGTTGGAGGGAAGGTTTGGTCAAAAGTGGGGCGTTTTATTATTTCAAGTTATAGTCATAATAAATCACAAATCTCTCTAATGTCAGATGAGCCCGCATTATTCTAGGCAATTAAATTCCATGTGGAATAGAAGATACGAAAGGGCACTTTAAGGTGGTTCGGTAACATAGAATATACAAATAATAATTAATGGGAACAGACTATCTAGACGGTAACCAGGTGAATGTGGATAGTGAGTGGATTTTGAATGTTCTTGAAAATCGACAGATTATAGGCCGTAACTAAAAAACGTGTGGTGAATATTATGAGAGTGAAGGATCAGGTATTGGGATTCCTGACATACCTATCTCGCTACGCTATCCTGACTCAGGATCGAAGCAAGTGGAGATCTATGGTGATTTTACGATCTTGGCAGAAGTACAAGTATGATTATGCCATAATTTATCTGTATCAGGCGTGTGATATGTTTCATGCACGAAGCTCCAGAAGCGAAGGATTAATAAATGAATATAATTTGCGCCCCAACTGGAGATCTATCCGATACTTGTCGTGTTATCACCTTACGAAAACGCGTTGGTTTTCGTAAGTTCTCATATACTTTTAGGCATAACTTATATATAGTGAGTTAGGGAATGCTTGAACCAGGAGACTAACTTGCAGAAGTCTTCTCGCCTTCAAGTAAATGTGGTGATTAATGGGTTGCAAGAAATGAACAAACCTTATATTTAAAATAAAGTATTTGGTTGACTGAGCTTTACTCAATGTGGTCAAGGCTGCTTGTATTACAAAATGCTGTAATATATACGAGAAATACAAATACTTTATATGGTGCAATGTCACGTAGAATAACAATTTATTTACAAAGGTTTTTGCCAAAGATATTTGCAGGTATCCGTAGTAAACTTTATAGATTCAAATTTAGACGACTTTCTTTCTAGATGTCTTTTAACCTTTTTAATTAATACTTTTATAAGTAGGTATTATCTTCTCAGGTCTCGAAAGCCTTGCGTTCTCTCGGCGGCAAAATTTGCGACCCTCAACCTTACAGCGTTTACTAAGGTAAGATTCTAAAGGCGGTCCAAGGCAGCATGTTGATTAAGTCGCCTTTATGGCTTATGCCGTACACGACGTCCTGGATTCGATTATCGGCGTAACAATAACCGTAACACGTGCTGCTATTCTATCTTTTGTTTACTTGCTTTGGGTATGATTTAGAGTTGAGACTTCAAAGTCAAACGGAACCTACTGGAGTTGATCACAATTAAAAGTTCGCTTTACAGTCTCAGTAACTTTCCGCAAAAAATTAAAATGTGAAGAAAATTCAATGTTAAATTTTTATTTCAAACCAGTATTGTTGATTATTTCCTGCAATCTTGTCACAAATTTGTATTTTAAGTATTTTTGTATTTTATTAATTAATAAGCACCACTGTATAATAATGAAAATGTTTTAAAAAACTTACAGGATTGCCCTAACCTTTTAACTAAATGTTATTTCGTGTATCTCAGGCATCCTTTCAAAAGGACTTATGGTCAAAATTGACCGATATCCAGATAGAGCATTGTGATAATCGAGGTCTGGATATAGCCCCTTACGCTTTGAAATTATTTCTCCTTAAGTTTTCATAATTTATGAATCGATGTTTCTTTCTCTTAGTGTCTGTTATGTTTGCCTATAAGTGTTTATCACATTAAATCTTGTATTTTATTTTTCTTTATGTACCAATGTAACAACGTGACCAACGTTGGCAGGGTTTTGTAAAGAAAAATAACACGTTTTTTTGTGTTTCAGATTCTGAGCCGTTCCTGGTCTTATTTCGCTTTATTAAGAACAATGTACCGTTAATAAAGTACTCATTTACGCAAACTGGTACTTTATTTAAAATCCAAAACTTTGTTTTGGTATTACGACTTCTTTGATTTTAATTTTTACATCAGTAATAAAAAGCCGCTTTAGCTTTTCCAAAGATATCATAGTTTTTTGCAAATAGAATAAGGCTAAAAGTAGACTTTCATTAATTCTCTTACTTAGTCAGTTATTAATGAACAGAGTTCGGATTTTTTATTATATATATCTAATGTTCAATTATCTTTAACATCAGATTAAATAATACAACTGAGTAAGTATTTCTGATGAGTGACTTTAGATAGCTATACAAATACTGAATTAACTTTTACTTGTCAATCATTAATAACCGTGTATGTCAAACTACAATGTACAATTAATATATCTTTACTAACCCATGTAATTAACGTCTCAACAGTACGTTTTTTTATTTGACAAAAGAGAATTTTAAACATCTTAAATATTCCTTTGATGGTTTCAAGCCAGTAATTAGCCAATGTAAATAGGATGTTGTTCTAACTTCTCCGTGAGTTAACTCGCTACTGTTCGACCAAAACATTTGGCTAAGACGTAGGTTTTATTGGGCGAAAACTATTTTGCTAAAAATCTCCTAAAATGGCCGAGTTACACGAGTTTGAAAATTCATTAAAATTAACTAAAATATCATTTTTCCTATCAGGTATTAATCTGTCAATGAAAAGGTCTATTCCCTTAAATTTTCTCTTTATTTTTAATTTCCTATGGCTATTTATCGATGTATTTGGTGAATTTTATTGGGTGATCGAAGGAGTAAGAGCTGGTAAGAGCTTTGAAGAGCTGTCAGTGATTGTGCCGTGCACTGTTATTTGTTTTTTTGGCCGCCTTTAGATGTGTTCCATTGTATCTTAATAACAAGCTTCTAGCTAATATTTTTGACAAACTACGAGAGATTCATCCAACATCAGAGTTTAAAGAAAATGAGATTGAGAAAGAAGAGAAAAAAATAACAGCACGTGCTGTAAAGCTGTTTTATAATCTTATTATTTTTATGGTGATAGCCAATTCATCTGTTGTTATTGCTTTTTGTTTGCTACCTCTGTTATTGATGGCCATAGATTATCAGAAAACAGGAGAAATAGAACTGAAACTACCGTTTTTGGTCAAGTACTTCTTTGATCCATTTACAATGACGAAATGGCCGTTTGTATATTTGCATCATATTTGGTCCAGTGAGTAATTTTTATACTAATTAAATACTAATAAGTTTTGACTCAAGATGAATGGTAATAATCGTAAAATATTTTCCTTTTATAGCCTTTTTAGTTTTTAGATTTGAAAAGATCCTTTAAAGAAAATTATACTTACTTGCAAAAAAAAATATTTTTCATACCTAAATTTTGTTTTAGCATTTATAGTCGTTATATACCTTTTTGGAGCTGATACGTTTTTCCATGCGTGTTGCATCTACCTGAGAATGCACTTCGAATTATTGTGCAGTCGCTTGGAGAAGGTTGTCACAAATTCTAAGAAGGACACAGAGGAACGTCTTCGGGCGTGCATCTTACGACATCAGGAGCTTATTGCGTTCGCATCTTACAATAATTTCTACTTATAAAGCCAGTTCTACAACCTATCTTTATTTTGAACTTAGATTCATCTTAATTGGTGAAATATATTCATAATCCTAACTAATTGTTAATAAATAAATTTAAGAATATCATATTCCGCAGTGTACTTACTATAATTAACCGTGGGGGTGAGAATGTAAATCATAAAACTATGGCGTGTTTCGCTTAATTGTGATTGGTTTAACGGAAAGATCACGACAAGAACACGACATGTTGCGTGGGGCAAACGAAACGCGCCATCTTGTCGTATTTTTTTGAAATTCTAACTCCGTGAGAATAGTCATTGTTTAATAAATAGTTTATGTTTTCAGATTAGTTGAGCTGATGGAGCAATTATATTCGAAGTCTTTTCTATTCAATATAATGCTAAGTTCAGTATTAATATGTTTAGGGGGATTTAACATCGTGGTTAGTTTATTTTATTCTGTCACTACAGGGCCTACATATGAATTATTATTGGATTCCTATTAAGTTATTTAAAATTGTTTCACGTGTTTTACAACATAGTCACGGGTTCATAGCTGTGGTTTCGATGCGGATAGTTTGACGTATCAAAACATACCACTTCTTAAAAGGTCGGCAACGCACTTGTAAGCCTTCTGGAAATTTAAGCGTTCATGGGCGGCGGTAATACTTAACATCCGGTGAGCCTCCTTCCCCTGATATATGAAAAAAAATACTTATCATACATAAACTGTTGTAAGCATAATATTTCTCTTGCGTCGATCTTCGATGAGTTTGACAATGCATAAACTTTCGTTTCTTTAATTATTAAATCTAGTCTCTGTCAAAATGCGTCGACTAATAAATGGAGACAGATAAATACTTATTATAACGGTGCAAAAAGACTGATAAAATTTGTAGTATGGGTTAAAAGAGTACTAGGATAAGAAAGGGAATGCTTAGGTATTTTGGCCATGTAGAAAGGAAGAATGAGAAACGGTTAACAAGTGGGTAATACAAGGCAACCCTGGATGGTTAAGTCGGGTTGGGTAGGCCTTTTCGTACTTACCTCGACCAAATCCAGAACTAGAGAAGAGACAAGTTAATAGTACCCAAAACTGATGGGCATGCATGGTGAATGCCATGAAAGTGGATGAAGAGAGACAATTATGTTAGGACCATTGCAGGTGGATCCGTGCTATCGTACCCCTTCGGGAAAAAGGTGTAGGTACAGATATAAATTAATAAATAATAATATTTTTTATTACAGTTCAGTAAACAGTTTGGCCCAGTGTTCGCGTATGTGAATTTCCTTGTAATGTGCATGTATCAGATATTTATGATCTGCTACTTTGGGGACATGGTGGTGATATCGGTAATATTGTTTTCTTACTTAACTTTTTTAATTACTCCATAGCACAATTTTTTGTATTCGTATACGTTGATACAATAAACTAGGGTTTTTATAGATACAATGTATTTAGACTCTAGTAGTAGGTACACAAATAATAATAGAACAATATTTATACTTAATTCCAAAAAGCCACAAGTTATATATAAAAAAAATATTGTTTAATAAACCTTACATTTTTAATTATTCGTACTCATGGGCACTGATATCATTCAGATTTAATTTATTTAAAGTCCAACAAAACTAATTACAGTCCAAAAAACTAAGGAATCGACTCCCGGTGGGGGTCTTCCTTGGGAGATATGACCTGCAAATGTGTAAAGGCCTGCATACTCCTGCCTCTAAGGCCGGCAACGCACCCACTCTAATGACTGTCCATGTGCTGCGAAGACTGCCCTTTGTGGGCATCCTATAGGCTCGTTTCCCCTATCCTATTTTTAAAAAAAGCAGTTTGACTGGGATCTATACGAGTCTCCGTATATCAAAACTATATACCTATATATTTATATTCACATACATTTCACAAATGACTTCGTATATTATGTAGAACATTAACGAAACCGATTCATCAATATATCACAGGGGTTTGAAAACTATATCAAAACCTAAAACCAACCCAGTAGACCCTAAATTATGAATGAAATATACTATAATGATACGTACGTACGTAATTGTATTTTCAGAGTTCAAAAGTCGGTGAAGCGATTTTCAACAGTAAATGGTACGATGCTGAAGTGAAAATTCAGAAAAGTCTATACATAGTACTTTTAAGGTATCAGTAACTTTTTCATTTTATCATTAAGATGTTTGGTGACAGAACTGATCACTGAGATATGTAGAGTTCTTTGCTGGGAATTTTATACTAAAAGCTTAACTCTTAAAGTCAAACTAGAATTACTGAAAAACTTCAATACTGTTTCAATTTTTTATGACAAGTCAAATAACATAGTTATCAATATTAAAGCTGTTAACGGGCTGTTCCAGATTTGGGTTTACATTATAAAATTATTGGTATGTATTTCATTTTATTTATCTGCAACTTCAACTAATAACAATAGTTGTCAGTACAAACACAGTATATATAATTGTGTTTTCATGTCATTTAATATTAATACTATTCAAAAACAAACGTGCTATGGTTCTTTTTTCAGGTCCCAAAAACCATGTACGCTGACGGCAGCCAAATTTGCAACTCTTAATCTGAGAGCTTTTACAACGGTATACAAATCGAATAATATTATAGTTCCTTTTGTTTTATATCTTTAATTTTGTTTAGAAGCCATAAAACTACAAGAAGCCTGGACAAGCTAGTATTTAATTCTTATTTGGACGATTTTTAATCAAACGCATAGTTACATCGAGTAAAATAAATGACGAAATTATTCTGTTTCGTTTGATTGTGATAGGTCTAACGAATTTTATCGCATGTCTGTGATTGGACTAGCTGATGTTGACCAAAAACAATTGAACAACGTGCGCCATTATTTCGTCTTTTGTTTTACGTACATGTTTTAACATGTCGTGAAATTTTGTGTATTTTTTTTTATTTCAGATTTTAAGCCGCTCCTGGTCATATTTCGCTCTTCTCAGAACTATGTACAATTAAACTTGCTTACACTAAAATCTTATATTAATGGATGTTGCATGTTAAATTCTACTAATAAAAATACTGTCATAGTTTTAAGAATTATTTGTCCTTAGCAGTTTTCCAAAGTACTAAGATTAACCTTCTAGATAAACCTAAGTTATTATCTTTCAACCGTACATAGTCGTTCATTAACATTATCATTCCTGTTTTATTTTACTATTTTTGAATTGTTTTGTATATAAGCTATGTTCCTTATGCAGTGTTGTTATTGATACATAGTTGATTAATCCATTTTATAAGGATTTAGAAAAGGTCACACAAGATCCAATCAAAAGCTAAGCTTTTTTAATATCCTATGCAGTAATCAATAGTTAAGTTATAGGACTATATATCATATATTTGCACCGTTATTTGGATATCGAATAAAATATTTTTAGTAAGAATGTGTACGCTCTTTAAGTCAAGACAATTCCCAACATCTCTAATGCCCGGAGACAAGCGGAAGATAGCAGTGTGGAAGAAACAAGTCCACGTAGGGCTTTAGTAATGAAGAAGATGAAGAAGAAGACGCTCTTCAAAGGACCCTAAGTAGAATTAGTTTGGCAATACAACATATTTCAAATCTTGTCCTTTTCTAAGTTTTAACCTTGAATCACGTTTCGCTAACATTCCGTCCTTGACTTGAATTTTTACTTTAATTGGATTCAATTCAGGTCAATATAGTTCTAGCGCGTGGCGACATTTGGACCAAAAAATTGATAGAACACGCTTTGCTATTTTACATCTTATTACTATATAGAGAATGCCCATAATACTATTATTATAAGATTTTTGAGTATTAAAATTAAGATCGACAAACTATCAGTTAAAATTCCTTACGATCAAATAGGTCTCTAAAATCATCGCTTAAATATATAACAGGTCGGCTGAAAAGTTCGTAGGCTAACATAGAAAAAATATATTTAATTTCTATAGAATTTGATTTGATTATTCAATATAGTAGCCTTACGAGTACAACGTTTATAGGGGTCATACAATTTTTTGATACCACTTTTATAGTAAAATTTGTCTTAAGCCTCAAAATAGGCTTCAGTTTCTGCGAATACCTCTTCAACAACGGAAAAAATTATGTCCGGTGAGCATTCTCTTGAGGTCTAGAACAAGAAAAAGCGCTGCGGGCACGATGGAGAGTACGATGGAGGCGGAAGCAATCCAAGAGCCAATTCATGGAATTTTGACATCGCTTTCATTGTCTTGATGAAACAACACTTTCTTCCTTTCATATGGGGCTGTGTTTCTTTCAAACGCTCCAATAATTCTAAGTAATAGTCGCTGTTGATTGATTGTTGGTTTTTCCTTTTAAGATAGTCGATGAATATTATATCATGCGCATCCCAAAATATTGATGTCCATAACCTTGCCAGCCGACTTTTGCGTCTTTCCACGCTTTGGAGTAGTTTCATTCATATAAGCTAATCTATTATATCTTTTACTCACATGATTCCTACAAGTCCGATAAATCAGTCAGCACTGGTACTACCTATGTATCCACCAAAAATGTAAAGAAATAATAAGTTACTCCTACATCCTGTGCACATCGTACATAAGAAATCGATTAAAGCCCCAAAAAGCCTAAAAGCCGCCATTGGGGTACTGTAGGTTATAATAAGGTGCAGACACATTTCTGCATCATTAATATATTGTTTAAGATCTTCTACTTATCACCAATCTTTTGTTACCAATTAATTCGATACGATTGTCGCTTCGTTGGCAAACGAACCTATGCGTCATATGTGCCTTGATGACTAAACCACGTAAGTGTGTGCATATGTCTAGAAATAAAAATCATTATTCTAGACATATGCACGTTAATGTTATTGTTATACTGTGCACATATTATATAGCAAGAACACATTTAAATTAGCAACATTATATCCAAGTTCTTAGTAAAGATGTAATGAATTTCTGATTCTAATTTCAAATTCCAGTAGTGGAAATAATAAATGGGCGTACGACAATGCGCTACCCATAGAGTGCCATAGAACAGGTTCTTTTTTCAAATTTATTGCCTGTCATTTTTTACATGTGCCCGTGTGTGCACTTGCCAAACACTATGGGGGCTATACGAGGGGTGGGCTTGAAAATTAATAGGGCTGTAGCGTTTCAAAAAAGTATTATTCAGATAAATAGAATCTTAAAAATGGATGAAATTTAGTTTTAGCTAAGTGTAAGAATGTTTAACGTATAAAATAAAATATATATATATATATATATATATATATACCAATCCAAATTACGAAATATAATAAAATTTATTTAAGCTTTTAGTAATCGATTCATGAATAGATACATATTATGTTTATGAATCACTTGATAGATTATCTATAAAAAATACACCTCGTACCTCCAGATCTCGGAGATGTTAGGTGTTTTGAATTCGGAATTCGAATTAAAAAATGTAAAACTCAATAGTTCTTACAAAACAACTGTTAAGTATGCATAGCTTGACAATGCACAAGTTATAAGAATTCTTTTATTTTAATTTAATATTATTAATACTGCAGTAGCCCTGTAATAAAATACCTATACTCCCGTCTGCCGTCTGGCGCAGCGGGGCACTTCATACCCCGCACACACTAACACCACCGATGTGTGTGTGGTATTAATATCACTTCTGCGTATAGGACCTAATAAATTTCTTGTTAATCTGTAATTATTTAAAAGAATCAGTAGACACTCAGAGTATAATGTGTCAGGATGGAATATAAAATCCATATTTTTATCATCTGCATAGCTACGAGATCCTAAAAGTAACATACAATTTAATATAATTATTGTCATTCTAATAAATACGAAAAGCAATAATGTTTTGGGGGGCTTTAATTAATAATTAACATATTTAAAATACAGGAAATTGATGATTTTGAAATGATTTTGTCATAGAAAAGGTTAGGAATTAACCAAATGGTGTTTACCGTAAATGTCTCCGACAGCAATGATACGAGAAAGCAATCAATTCGCATAGAGTACATGAAGTACAAGTCTATAGCAATTTTAAAACTCTAATAAACTGAAAAAATTACTAGGGAAAACTGTCGACTACGTAGTGATGATGATTATTACTCAGAAAGGTATGAGCTTCCTTCTTTGTTAACCTTCACAAAAATATCACTGTTTGCGCTTTCTTTAATAATGGTTGTCACCTCAGAAGTGTAGCCTATGTCGGCTCTTTGGGACCCGTAAACTGACGACTTTGTGTTAGAAATACAAAACCAATGATACTGCTAAACAAATATTAAATTAATGTATTAATAACTTACATATTGTTTATACAACCCGTCAAACAGTTCCCCGTCGTTGTGGGTACCGTACACATCGGCTCCCGTGTAAAAATAAGATTAAAAATAGAAATACTGCTAATATTGCTAGTATGTTGTTTTAGGTGAATTAAGCAAGGCAAATAAGTGCAGTGTGTGACTTTTCAAAGTTGTTGTGTTAATAGGATAATCAAATTTACAACATAATAACAAGCGCTCTGGTGCAGTGGTCAATCAACAATACGCCAAATGGAAAAATACGCAAGTGAATCATAACATTAACATTTGCATTTGCACTTGATAGTTTTTGGATTAATTTTAATAATCATATCCATAGATTCAGTGAAACTGTCGAGTTTTTGTTCAACGTGGTGACGCGTTGTGCGTTTGCACTCCGCTATTTGTCTAAGTACTCAACTATCCAATCGGCTCAGTGTAGCAGAACGCTGCCAAGACATCGTCATATAGTTTGTGACGTGGTTCCAATCCAGGCAACTCACTTGTTTTTTTGTTTTTCTTTTTATTAAAAGTTGCTATGGCGCCTTCAAATTGTTGTGCTAGCTGTCATACTGAGCTACCAAAGAAGGATTTTTTATGCTGTCATATCTGCAAGTTAAAATACGACCTAGTATGTGCTAATGTCTCCCGCAAGCGCTTTGTTGAGATGGTCGCAAGACAAAAGGCGTCATTTAGATGTCCCGAATGCTCTAGGAAACCGACTAATGTTAGCAATGCAAAGACGTCATTGCTGACTTGTGAAAATTCCGATGGAAGCCCTCTTAGTATGAGCTCACAAGAAGCAAGTCCGGAGAGTGAACCTCCGTGCTCTGATAAAGTAACGCAGCGAATTAAGCCGTCACACGGACCCCCTTCACAACTACCAGAACCAGAACTAGAATCATATGTCACTGAAGATAAATTGCGAGATATCTTACAACAGGAATTATCTTCAGTCCTCACTGTGACAATTAAGCGATTGGTGACATCGGAACTTAATAATCTCACTGAAAAGGTTGCTGGATTCCAGGACACAATCTGCTTCCTGAGCCGACAATATGAGGATATAAAGTCTTCTCTTGAGGAGAAGGACATCGCAATAGTGAATTTAAAAAAAGATAATGACAGGTTAAAGTCTAATGTGGCTGACTTAACGAATCGGCTAACTTCTGTTGAACTACATGCCCGGGAGAATAATATACTGATTAATGGGATCCCTGAGAATAGGTCAGAAAATTTATTTGAAACTGTCCTTCGTATAGCCAAGACTGTGGACTGTCCCCTCACTCAAGTTGATATTCAGCACGTAACAAGGGTTGCTAAAATAACTAATAGCAGTGATAGGCCTCGGTCCGTGGTGGCTAAGTTATGTAGCCCGCGTACACGTGACTTTGTTCTGGCTGCTGTGAGCAAATTTAATAGGAAGAATCCACAAGATAAATTGAACTCTCATCATCTTGGTATTGGAGGAACTAAGAAACCTATTTTTGTATCTGAACATCTAACATCAGTTAACAATGCTCTTTACGCGGCCACACGCTTGAAAGCAAAAGAGAAGCAGTATAAATTTGTATGGGTTCGCAACGGACGAGTTTTTACAAGAAAGAACGAAAACTGCCAAGCCTTGCTTATTAAGAATAACGAAACCTTAAATCTTTTAACATAGTATAGCATAGTATATTAGATTGTAAGCTTTTTTGTATC